GCCCTCGAGTTCTGCTCTCGCGGAACGTGGTTAAGCGTGAACTCTCGGAAATTCTCCGATAGAAACTTAACTTTTTCCAAGTACTTAGCCAGTTGAGGGTCCTTCGCTTGGAAAGTGCCTACTACTTGTCCCGTGATCAATTGAGAGTCGCTTCGTGCTGACAAACTTGTCGCCCCCATTTCCTTTGCCAATGCCATGCCAGCCAACAATGCCTCATACTCGGCCTGATTGTTGCTTGCTCAGAATTCAAAGCGCAACGACTGCTCCAACAAAATTCCTCACGGTCCTTCCAAGATGATCCCTGCTCCACTTCCCCCAAGATTCGATGCTCCATCTACTGACAAGATCCACTGCATTCCTCCGACCTCTCCCTCATCGGCGGGTGCGGTCAGCTCCATCACAAAGTCGGCTAGTGCTTGAGCTTTGATTGCTCCTCTCGGCTCATATTTAATTGAATGCTCTGATAGTTCTATAGACCACTTCATCATTCTTCCCGCAAGGTCTGGCTTCTATAACACCTGTCTAATCGGATGGTTTGTACGAACAATCACTTCATAGCTCTGGAAGTAGTGCCTTAGCTTCCGCGCAGTCACTAATATTGCAAGGGCCAATTTCTCAATCTTTTGATACCTCGTTTCTGCTCCTTGTAGGACTCGACTCACGAAGTATACCGGTGCCTGGGTGCCTTCCTGCTCTTGGACCAACACTGCGCTGACTGCTCGGTCGGATGCCGATATGTAAACCAACAGGGGAAGGTTCAGTTTCGGCTTCGTCAGTATCGGCGGCGATGCTAGCGACTTCTTGAGTTCTATGAAAGCTTCCTCACACTCGTTTGCCCAGACGAATCGGTCGTTCTTCTTCAAGCATTGGAAAAGCGGCAACGCCTTGTCGGCTGACTTGGAAAGGAAACGTGATAAGGAAGCCATCCTTCCCATGAGCTGCTGCACCTCCTTTACCGTGGAAGGACTCCTCATGTTAATGATCGCCGAGCATTTGTCAGGATTTGCCTCGATGCCGCGATGAGTTAGCAAAAAACCCAGGAATTTTCCCGCTTGGACTCCAAAGGAACATTTCTCGGAGTTCAACTTGAGCTGGTATTTTCCTATGGTATCGAACAATTCCCTCAGGTCGTCAATATGCTAATCCAAACTCATTGACTTTACTACCATGTCGTCCACGTAGGCCTCCACATTCCTACCCAACTGATCCACCAACACCTTGTCCATCAAACGTTGATACGTTGCCCCTGCATTTTTCAATCCAAAAGGCATTACCTTGTAGCAATAGTTGGCCTGGTCAGCAATGAACGCAGTTTTATCCTGGTCGGCTGGGTGCATTCGGATCTGATTGTAACCTGAATACGCATCCATAAAACTTAGCAACTCGTACCCCGATGCACCATCGACAAGGCAGTCTATATTCGGTAGAGGGTATGAATCCTTCGGGCACGCCTTATTTAGATCGGTGAAATCTGTGCACATTCTCCATTTCTCGCTGCTTTTTCGTACCATCACAACATTTGCAAGCCAAGTCGGGTATTGTATTTCTCGGACGAATCCTGTTGTTAGCAACTTGTCGGTTTCTTCAGCAATGGCTTTGCGCTTGTCCTCACCAAACTTCCTCCTCTTTTGGATGACAGGCTTTGCACGTGGATCGATGGCTAGCTTGTGGCACATGAAATCGGGGTCCACTCCTGGCATATCTTTGACGTGCCACGCAAATGCTGACATGTTCGCTTTTAACACCTCAACCAATTTCTCGGAATCCTCCTAACTGAGGGATGTACCGACCTTCACCTTCTTTCCCTCCGTCAACGTCACCTACTTAATGTCTTCCGTAGGGGCTGGTCGGCGATCAAAATGGCTCACTCTGGGGTCTAGGTCGATGGAGTGGACCTCCTGCTCCACCTGCGCCGTATACAGTCGTCTTCGCACCTTCAAACTGTCGCCATAGCATTTCCGGGCCACCTCCTGGTCCACTCGGAGAGTGCCCACAGTACCGTTTGGCAACGGATACTTCACCTTCAGATGGGAAGTAGACACCACCGCTCCTAGCTTGTTCAGGGTCGGCCTGCCAATCAGTATACTGTAGGATGACTGCGCGTTGACTACCAGATACCGAACAACCACCGTCTTCATCTGAGCGCCCTGGCCAAAAGTTGTTTCCAGATCGGCGTCACCTCCTTAATGTCTTCCGCAGGGGCTGGTCGGCGATCAAAATGGCTCACTCTGGGGTCTAGGTCGATGGAGTGGACCTCCTGCTCCACCTGCGCCGTATACAGTCGTCTTCGCGCCTTCAAACTGTCGCCATAGCATTTCCGGGCCACCTCCTGGTCCACTCGGAGAGTGCCCACAGTACCGTTCGGCAACGGATACTTCACCTTCAGATGGGAAGTAGACACCACCGCTCCTAGCTTGTTCAGGGTCGGCCTGCCAATCAGTATACTATAGGATGACTGCGCGTTGACTACCAGATACCGAACAACCACCGTCTTCATCTGAGCGCCCTGGCCAAAAGTTGTTTCCAGATCGGTATATCCCCTTGCGATGACCTGGTCTCCTGCAAAACCCACTAAAGTTCCTGCATAAGGGATTAGTCGGTCGTTAGGTATCTTCATCCCCTCAAAAGTTTCCCAAAATAAAATGTCAGCGGAACTTCCCTGGTCAATCAATACACGCTTCACGTTGTATCCCATGACGATCGCCGACACGACGACGGGGTCGTCCTCATGAGGGGCCACTCCCTCATAATCTGAGTCCGAGAACGAAATCACCGGCTGAGTAGGTCGCCTGAACTCCGATAATGTGAGCACTGACTGAGTGTACCTTTTTCGTGCAGCAGAGGTAATTCTCCCGCCCGCAAAGTCCCCCGCTACGGTGTTGAAATCCCCATGGATTGGTTGCTGATGGGCTTCCGACGATTTTGCTGGCACGTCTCTGGGGGGAGTTCTCTCTCTACGTCTATCCCTCCCGGTGTCATCTTGCGTACGCCTGGGTCGCCTATCCGTCGAGCTTCCCTCCTGCTTTTTCGCCACAAACTCCTTCAGTCGTCCCTCCTTGATCAACCGCTCGATCTGCCTTCCCAGAACGAAACAATTTTCAGTTGAGTGCCCGTGAGTCCCGTGGAACTCACACCATGCAGTTTTGAAAGGCCCAACTGACGCTCCGTCGCTGCTGGGAACTCAAACAGCGACGCACTATTAACATCGTGGAGTATCTGTCTCCTGGGAACAGTGAGTGGAGTGAACTTCTCTTCTTCATCGCCACGCATCCACTCGCCTCTTGACCGACCACCATGATTGGCCTGTCGGTAATTGCCCTCCTTCGCACCGTACCGGTCGCCCCGCTTATTCCAGTCTGACCGAGGTCGAAGATGTTTGTTTCCCTCTTTATTGCTGCCCCCTGCTTCTCGGTTCTCGGCCGCCCTTTTAACAATCTGGTTTTCCGCCGTCTTGATGTGGCTCAAAGCAAAAGCCCTTACCTCCGACATCGTTTGACAGTTCGCTCTTTCGAGTGCAATGTCGAAAGCCCCAGACCTCAAACCTTTCTGGAATGCGATAACTGCCATCTTCTCGTCCAATGATGCTATCCTCAAGGCGACCTCATTAAATCTTTGCAGGAAATCTTTCAGAGATTCCTCGCGTTGCTGTTTGAGGTCGAACAAATCCGATGTGATCGGCGGCTTCTTTTTGTTAGCAGCGAATTGCGCCATGAAGAGCCGGCTGAAAACATCAAAATCGGTGATCGCCCGATCCGGGAGACCGCTAAACCAGTCGAGCGCCGCCTTCTTGAGAGTGCCCATGAACAACTTGCAACGGACTTCCATGCTCCCTCCACAGATTAACATTTGAGCCCGGAAGTCCGTCAAGTGCTGACTGGGATCTTGCGTTCCATCGAAAGGCTCGATCTGCGGTATCCGATGATCCCTAGGGATCATCTCGGCCTCTATGGCCTCCGAGAATGGTCGAAAGTCCCTAGGGACCTCCAGCATGACGTCCTCCTCAACAGTCCTAGTACTGGCCGCTACTCTGGCCTGCAGCTCGTCGGCTCTTCTCCTTATCTCCTCATTCTCGCGTTGAATGGCCTCCTCTCTCTCCCTGGATCGTGCATTGTCCTCCCTTAAGCCATTGATCATGGCCATCATCTCCTCCATGGTAGGGGGTTGCGAGTTGTTGTTGTTGTTGCCGCCTCTCGCCATGGTAAAGTGTAGGTTTTTTCGTAAGACTTCGGGCGTAGGAAGAGTTTCACCGTAGCCCCACGGTGGGCGCCAAAATGTTCCGGCCAAAGGGTGGACTAGGGTTTTTTCCTAGATCGTGCCTTAGAGCCAGAGCATTCAAGAGTGTAATCTGCCGCCTCAACTCTAGGGTTTTGAGTTTTATAGCATGTCGTTTGTGGGCCTCTTGGGCCCCGATGATAGCGGGATTTTCCTAACCGTTATTATCTCGAGGGCGCGGGAACAAAGGGAACAACTACCCACGGTTCCCGACCGATCGGGTCCATGCCGAGGGCCCAGTCGGGCTCTGATGGATTGGGTCTACGTCCGAAGACCGGTCGGGTCTCTACCGGGTGACCCTCTCAGCCCTTGTGAACGATAGAGGGGTCGAGTTCCCCAGGTCCAGTCGGGTACCGACCGACTAGGCCTATATTGAGCCCGAGAAGAATTACTCCTTATAAGGTTTGTTCGTTCTTCCGCCGACCAGGGAGGCGGGTCGGAATTCGGCCCGGACGGTACACTTGCCTCCCAGCCTTGAGCCTGTAAGGCGAAGAGGCTTGTGGTCGGATACTCAAATCGGATATTTTCTGAATAGGAAGTCTAGTCGGATTCTTGCCCGGACGGTACACTTGCCTTCCAGCCTTGAGCCTGTAAGGCGAAGAGGCTTGTGGTAGGATAATCAAGTCAGATATTTTCCGAATAGGAAGTCTAGTCGGATTCTCTCCTGGACGGTATAGACACAAACTTTAATATGCATATGCATGTGATGTCAATAAAACATTTTAACATTGCCCGAAGGTTCATTACCCCAAAGGCCACTACTTGAAAGGCATTGCCTAAAGTCGAAATCTCATGTATAGTTGTAAATATTTTATGCACATGATGTATGTCTCGTGTATAAGACTCAATGCAATATCATGTTATCTTAATGCATATTCACAATTTTCCAATTTATCATTACATGACCTTCATAGGATCCACACATATCGATTTCCCAACACCAATACCGTTTTACATCATTTACAACAATCTTACCTCACAATATCACAAATACATACTCATAATCTACAACGTTTACTTGGATAAAATAACCATTATATGCACAATAAATTGTATCACACAAGAATTATATGTTCATAGTTCAAACACAATACATCCATAACATCATCTGTAACACCTCAAGATAGAATTATTATGAAATTATCTAATCATATGTTAATACCTCAACTATAATCACTAAGAGGTCAACATCAACTAAGTATTTAATATAATCACTTAACTATTCTCGCAATGTCATTAACATTACATATTAATTCATTAGGCATCACTATCATTAAACACCTCAAGTAGTTAACAATCAACTCACATCATAACTTATTCACAATTGTTCTATCTCGTGATTTCTCTTCCATAAACATTGATATAGATACCTGAAATCATTCACAAGGTCAAATACTTAAAGGGTACAACCATTCATAATTACCATTCAAAAACTACATTTTCATAACTTAATATTTCATGGTCTCGTTTAGTCCAAACATGATACCTAAAGCTATATATACACACACACACACACACACACACACACACACAAATGCTATCAAATTGATCTTAATATTTTTAGAAAGCTGAGATCATTACCTACAACTTCTATATTGATTTCAAGAGTTAATTATGTCATCTACTATTTTAAAAAATACAAAACCACAGTGTTTCAACCTAAATTTGATAGTTTAACATCCGCTCACTAATTTAATCATAACTAGAGTTCTATACTTTTTTTTTAAGTGATTCCAACAACATTGAAAATCAAACATCTAGGGCTACAACTTTCCTGAAGATCACAAATGCAAATTCATCCATCTACTCGCTTAAGTGAGTTAATCATTCACTTAAATGATGTTAGCTCGCTCGGAGCGAGCATTAAGTAAGGTTAGCTTGCTCGAAGTGAGCAACTACTTGAAACTCTCTATTAGGATTTGTTTGAGCGCGTCTAAGGTTGTTTAAAGTGAAATAAATTTGTTTAGAGTGAGCCTAAGGTCACTTGAAGCGAGCTACGATAGTCTAGAACTCAATATTATACTATTCATAAGTTTCTAACCTTCCCCACACCATTCTTTAACATCATCAATCCAAATCCAATGTCAAATTAAAGCCTATTACTATATAATTAAGTCATCAATTACTCAATCCACATGTTCATACCAAGTTCCTCATACAACGTCATAACATAGTTCCCTTAAGGTTTTCACAAGAACCCATGGTAATCCAGTATTCACAAAGATTAGTTTATTTAATAAAATTAAGCATATATACATATCAATAACATCAATTATAGCACTGAAGAGCCATATGGAAAGCAAAAACACAAGTTAAGTGACAAATCAAGATTATTGGTGTCAATTTCACTATCCAACATATAACTCACACTTGGAGTGAGATTACTCACTCCTCCCTTACCTCAATGAACATTAGATATTAAGGATGTGGATCTCTAGGTGATCTCCAACAAACTCTAGTTCTCTCAGTTTTTCAAAGCACGAGCGTAAAGAGAAAATGAAAAAAAAAATGTAAGAATGAAACTAACATTGATGTTACCCTACTCCTTAACTCAACTTTAACCCCTTTTAGTAAAACACTTTAACCATCTTGACACTTCTCTTCTCTCAAATATTAAAACTTATAAATAATATATAAAATAAACATATTTCTCTCAACACAATTATAAATAAAATAAAATATATGAAACAACTATAATAAAAAAACATATTTTTATCCAAATACTTATTATAACAAGATATCATATAAACACATATTTCTCCAATAAATATTATACAAAAGAATTTTTGCAAATACTTATTATTTAATTAAAAATAGTCATAATTAATAAAAATCTTTAAAATATTTTCTAAAACTCATTTAGTTACTTAAAATATCTTTTTTAATAATTTTAAAAATCTTAAGGTGTTACAAGTTGTCTGCCAAAACATTGATTTGTTATAACTTACATAGTTAACCAGTTTTTTTTGTTCATATGACTAAACAAATCAAGACATTACTTTTATATTTTCTCTTTATAACAGTAGGTTAGGTTATTGATACAAGAGTTAATATCATTTATACAACATATTTTATAGTACTTTTTATAATAATATTTTTTATTCAAATAGTTTTTTTTAGTTTGTATAATTTCACTTATTTTATCTTTTAGTATTTATAATTTAAAATAAATTTTTTTAGTCTTTATACTTATCTTTTCGATCTTTTTAAGTTCCTACAAATTAAGATAGATTTCTAGTCTTTATACTTATAATTTTTTTTAATCATTTTAATCCTTTTTGTTAATTTTTAAACAATATTCTTGTGTTGACATGACAAATGTATTAATTTAATTTTGTGTGTATGATGTTGAATTTATTTTACTACTTACTTTTAAATCAAGTCTCTTGATGTTTCATATCTCTTTTGTACGTTATCTACAATGCTCATTTTTGAGACATCTTTTTTTATCTTCACACAATTGAAGACCTCAATCATGCCGACATAAAACACACAACTTACAAAATAAATTAATGATAAAAACCAAAATAATTTAAAAAAAATTATAAACATAATGACTTAAAAAATTTATCTTAAACTATATAAAGTAAAAAAAAATGGACTAAACAGGTTTGTTTAAAATTATAGGGATTAAAAGATAAAGTAAGTGAAACTATAAGGACTAAAATAATATTTTAACTTATTTTTTCTTTTATTTCTCTCTATTATATTATCTACTCTTATCACATTTTCACCCCAATATCTATTCTTTTTTTAAAAAAAGTGTTGTAAAAGCATTTCTATATATTATTAAACATAGAGTAGTCTCCTTAAAAATTTTCCCGCTTAAAATTACACAATTCAGCACTTATTCTCTAAAATTATTTTTGCCTTTTAGAATTCAAGCATTTTCTATTAGCCTTTAATTAATCAATGTAATTTAATCGATTTTTTTTTTTTACTTTTATCACGTATTTATTCCTCTTGATATTATTATTAATTTATTAGTGTCAATATTTTTCAACAAGTTTACTTAGCCATCAAAATGATATTTTCTTTATTACATGAAGAAGTGTTAAAGAATGGAACATAAAACTCATTAAATATTGTAAAGTAAAAATTAACACATATTAACAAAATATGCATATAAACCAATTTTATGTAATCTCATAATACAATCTTCATAATTAAATGTTCGGTGTAAAAATAATAATATTATTATATATCAGTTATAATAGGATAAAAAAATATATTAAAGTCACTATAATATATATTAATTTATAAATATTATATAATCAATTTTTTTCTATTATTATAAAATAAAGATGAAAATAATTTTAAAATATAAAAAAATACACTTTAAAATATCAAACTAATAAATATAATTTATTTTTAATATGTTTATCATTATATCATACGAAATATATTTTAAATCAAATACTCATACATCACATCATGAAACATACTTAGTTGAGGTATGTAGAGTGTCCATTCGGCACCATCAGCTCCCAAAGATCATTCGGCACCTTCAGCTACCGAAGTCCATTCGACACATTCGACAACCAAGGACCACTCGCCACCCTCGACGGCCGAAATGATTAAAAGGTATGAATAATCATAATTAATAATTACCACTAAATAATGGTTAAAGTTCAATTAGGGATACCAAGTCAATTATCGATTATTACCTAATTTGACAACCGTAATGCAGGGCCTATCGAAAACTGGACCCATTAATATTAATATAAATATTTTGTATCTTAAGATAAAATTATTGTTTATTTATTATTATCGATATTTATATTTATTCTAACTTGAGCGTTGAAGTATCTTTTATAAGTACCTCGCCTTAGATATATTAACTTGAAATTCCTGTTCAATCTTCGGAT